CTGGTTAACGCGTGCTCTTGTCCACACTTGACTACAGAATATCTATTTTCACCTTAGGGAATCACGTTAGGTGGTTTTACGGCAGCTAATGCACTATGAGGAATGTATATTCCAAATAAAACACTTGTTTTGAGATTACTAATACCATTTCGACGGGTGTGAAATTGCTATTGAGTCAATGCATAGAAGCATGCAATGGCTGAGTAAACAGTGAAAGCATCCTATAGTTATGCTAGGGGATTAGTTGTCATGAGAAAACCACTGCCGACCATGCTGCTGTTGTTTGCATACATATCAACTTTCTGTGTGACTTCGCGTTTCTATGTGGCACTCTAGGAAGAGGATAGAGCAACCTTTTTGTAATTTAAATTTAATTGAGACGCTCTCATTCGTGTACACGCACAACTACACTCACGCAAAGCCTAGAATTATCGCCATCATTATTTGACATCCTTTTGTCTTGTATTCACCATAACTCATTACCTGATCGCATGCGAATGTGGAGTAAGTCTGCGATTGTTGGTGGGTTTTATGGTGCATGATCAGTACATATCGAGCGGCTCTAAGGTTCAGTACTGAATTTCAAAGCTTCTACTTTTTCAGTGAGTGGATGGTGGTATGGTCAGACGTATTTCGTAAGTAAACCAATACTCATCTTTTAATTTCGATTATAACATATGGCTTACTGTACTGTCTGGCTTCCGTTACGTATGCATTTCTTCCCAACTCCTAGCTGCTTTCTGAGGACGGTAGCTTTTAACCAGTGAGCCCTGTACCGTGTCCCAAAAATTTTTTCCCTACCGTCTATTTTCGTGTCTCCAGCTAACTGAATAATGTTATTTGATGGTTCCTTGTCAAGATTGAGAAATTTTGGATGAGGTTATGTTAAGTTGAATGCAGTATTTTGTTCGTTTAGAATGGTAGTTTTAGCTGCTTAAAAGTAGTGGAGTCGGTGCGCTAATATGCAGCATTTAATGGATATCTGTTTATCCTTATTTATGTAAGCCTACCTTTTGAGCACCTTTGGCGACTCGGTTGCATCTTTGTAGATTAGGAAATGTAGGCACTCAAAGATTGACTGATTGTTGTTGTAGCCCTTGGTTATTAGAGAAACAAGAACCACTGCAGTCTTCTATCACCGCAGCTGTTTCCCTTTTTTCAAGAAATTTTATCAATTTACCACCTGGTTAAGTATCGCCCCTCTGGTGTTTTATCATCACCAATGGAAGTGTCAATGGTGCCATTCATTAAGACCATTACTCGAGAGTAAATTTTTATTTTTGTGGGTGAAATGAAGCCGTCTTACAGTAGCATTTCATAATCTTGTTCAGTAGAATGACTTGAAGAGAACTGCAAATATTAATGTGACTCTCAGCCATTTGATCTCTTTTCCGTTTACTTATTTCACTGGTTATGTCAGTTTCTTTCTTGACAATTCTGTGACTTTTCGTGAATCTTTCGATTAGTTGGTCAATCAAAAACGGTTTCCCGATCAGTCCTTGTATCAGAAAGTGGTATTGGGTCCCGCCATTTATATGGTCGTATATTCTTCATACTTTTCTTAAATCTTATGTTTTAGAACCTTTATTCGCACCTTCTCTAGTAACATCAAATTTCAACAGTTTATGTGAGGCTTATAGTATTCTCTTAACCCTACCCGTGTGCATCTCAACTTGCTCCATGCTATACGCTTAATTTTTGATCACGCATCATGCTATGGATCCATCCTTCTTTGGAATGTTATATTTTTATGCTCACGGAAGCGTGTGTATCCAGAACAATGAAACGGTTTAGCACTTGGCTATTTGATTTCCATTGGGAATCGGCTTATTTTCTATCAGGTTGGCTAACCGACACCCACGTCCTCTGCTTCTGTGTCTCGAGATCTTAAACTATCAGGTGGTCATCCCTTTTTTAATTTTATGGGATTCATTCCGATCATACGACGATCCAAGTCCAAAGTCCGGCCACCGCCATTCATACCCAAGACTTCAAGGGGGATTTCTTTGAACCAGTAGAACCGTTATGCTACATACCGTAGAAATCCAAGCACTTGCTGCGATGGTTTCAGGAGCATATCGCAACACCTCTGCGTCTTATGCTTGAATTTGAGACTGGAATGGTGGCAGGTGTCACAAATACACTTCCCCCTGGAGCGTTGAGCCGATACGCTCATAAAGCATGGTATAAGTATTACCTTAGATTGTAATTTACAAATAGTTACACTATACTCTCGTTTCGTGATAATTTTAATCTGAAAATGCCATTCTAAAGTGTTTTATTTGTTCCTGTGTAGCCTTTTTTATCATGAACAAAGCAGAGTTAGTGTTACTGATTCTGTTTTAGTTTTGCACGAAATTTTATACTTTGTTGTTCACTGCGCGTATGGAAGCTCAGAGGTCAATTCGAATATTACGCCTCATGCCAAATGTTCTTTTTTGCGCACTTTTCTACACAAGCTCCATTTTGAGTCACGGCACACTTTTCGTTTACGACAATATGCTTAGAACTTGGCTGCTGATTTTGTCTGCTTCTAGCTACAAGACCCCTTGGACCGTTCGTGCACACGTGTATGTCAATGGGAACGTGACAGTGTATTGAAGCCTTAGGAGGAGGGAGCAAAGACAGGCGGGTAGCGGTTGCACTCGCCCATCCACGCACGTTGACACCTCGTGCATACTCGCATGCCCAGTCAAGTGTAGCTCCAGGAGGTCAGAATGTGCACTCCCTTTTTCACTTTAAGCGAGCGCCTGTATGGATATGGAAAAAGGATATTGGAACGGTAGAATTGTCGTTGCGAGTGCATAAGTGGCACTCGTAAAGGTTGACATCTGTTGGTCGATGCACCTCTGGATTTTATAGGTACACTTGTTCAGGTTTCCGTTCTAGCTGAGAATGCTTTAATGTAGCCTTCAGAATGACCTTTTTTGTCGTGAGGATTCAGATTTTCCATGAACATTGGAATAGCTGGAACCCCAGTCGGACAGATATCTAGTCATGTTATCGGCTTGCTTCGTTATTCCGCATTTCAGCTCTGAACTCTACTCATCAAATTAGGTTGACTTGGTATTTTTGCTTTTATTTACCTACTTTTGGGAAGCTGATCTCTCGTAAACCCCGAAAACTGGTGTAACAAAGTGTAGCAACAGTTAATCCGCTTTCATAAAACAGGGTGACGGCTTGGATTCGTTATTAAATGTGATGGATGAAATTCGCCACCTACACAAGGATTTATACAGAAGCAATTTGAAAAATTAATTGTATTGATTCATGGTTAGTTACACCTAGTTATTTTTTCAATTGAGGCAGTTTCTGGCTGCGAAATGTAATCGAAAAAGAATTTTGCATTGAGTAGGAAATGCAACTTAATGAAAAAGCAGAACGTGACTCGTTTTTAGTTGATTTTTTGAAACTAAGAAGCGGTTTCGACGCTAATTTCTAATTACTAGCTTTCTTCTAGACAGTGGTGTGAGCAATGTTAATTCCAGCGAACGGAAGGAATGTGTAATCTGATACAGATTCTGAGATCAATTATAATTCTCTTTTCTACTCAGTATGTGGGCGATGGGCGAAGGAACTGATTATCACAGCGAACTTTCTACTAAACTCTCAGTGTCTTCTATTATGCATCCCGTGCTCTTGCCTGGATGCATTTTGTGGTGGTATGCAGGCCATCCAACTGATTATTGCCCATAGGATTTTCCTGTAACCATGTCTCGCATGATTAGGCTTCCTTTCTTTAACTGTATTACCAGTGTGAAAATTCTCCACTTTCACTCTAGCCTGGGGAAATTAGCTATTTTTGGTTCTCATTGACCTTCGCGAGGTACCGATGGTTCTACTGAAGGTTAGCAAAAATATCTATGGGTGTTTGAAACTCCATTCACTCCCTAGGATTTTCATTTCATGATAATGCCGTTTTTCTGATCCTCTCAGTTTATTTTCCGCAACATTTGGTGGTTAGCGTAAAATTGTTCCTGATGCCCTTAAAAATGCGTACTATAGTCTGCGTTCTTTGTTTTGGCTACTTAAGGCTTGGCGCCGAAATTGGAAATCTTGAGTATGCGTAATCTATAGCCCTTGACTTTGTCCCAAAACCAAGTGCGGAAGAACTGCTTTCTATATCAGAAGCCTCTTTACATGCCCATAACGCTGGTTGAACGCTTGCTCGAAGAGAGGGTAATCGATATTTCCGGTGCTTTTACTGATGGATCTTTTTTAATATTTCGTGTGCCAAATTGGAACTTTCCAGGTTGTTTTCTTTGTTTGTTTATCTTGCACTACTGTTTATGAGGCATGGTTCTTTTCTTAGGGTGGCTCGAACTCTGATTCGGCATAGTTATTTATTGTTTCTCATTGATCTCACATCTTCATCACCGATCAAAACTACCTAGACATATAAATTTCCTTTTCCTACAGTTTAATTGTTTTGTTAGTGTTCAACCTCTCCTTACATAGATTGGCGCTGCAATGTCCTAAATTCACGTTTACTTCTTAGCATTGAAGACTGTCATTGAGAACCTTTGAGATACTCAGGAGCGTCCTTTGTTGTAGCCATTATCACTTTATGCATACATTCGTGTCACTCGTTTGGAGGTGTTCTTCGGCTATTTTATTGTGGGAGTAGCTAGTGGTAAATGCATCAACGAAACTAGAAGTCCTACTTTATAGCTATACACTGAATTGTCACGTGAAACACGTAGGGCTAATTTCACAGCTCAAAACATGGGTAAGCTGGTCACGAAACCTTTTCATTTTGCGAAAAAATAGCTGGTTTGGTTGTAGGCTGTCTCGATATGTATGCGGCGTCTATAAAAATACGTTTTTGGATTAAACGTACAGCATTGGTTTTATTCTTACCATCTGTAGTAGACGGAAATCCTAAGGCGTCATGAAATTTAGGAACGGTTTTGATTTACATTGTATAAACCAACGTTTGTAGATGCTGAGCAAACGGGATAACAAATCCTATAGTCTGCCCATTAACTCAACGGGTCTATCAGATACAAGTGGAAGTTCACCAGCAGCACCGACTCTCGACTACCACCAGAAAACCCCCAGTGCCGCAGTAGCTGCTGTTGCGAATGTTTTTGCCTACTGTACGGGGGCGGCCTCCTCGGGTCATGGTTCGGATGCGTTGGACGGTCTTCTGCGTCCACCCATAGTGGCCACTGGCAACGGTAATACCCTCGCTACTGTTGGTGGCGGCGATGGTGGCGGTGGTCTGGTAGATGAGACGGAAGATGATGACGAGGACTGTCTGGGGTCTTCTCAGCCTCCTGACCTACCCAGCGACTACTCTGTCGTGGATCCTGGATCAGGAGCTCTTCCATTTGGTCAGTTTGGCCAGTCACAGCAGGAGGGACCCTCGGGCTACGCACCCAGTGCAAAAATGTTTGTGTTGCCTCCTCCTGGCCATCAGCATACTCGACTGCCGGATCTTGTGGCTCCGCCTGATGTCTGTTTGATGAAATCACAAGACGAGGTGGGGCTTGGCGAAGAGGTCAAAGATATTGTTAATTGTTCAGACAAAAATCCAGATAGCCATCAGGCCAGTGCTGGGGGCAGGGAGATTGATGGATTGAGCGAACATGCAGGGACTCCTTTAATGGTCAGGGTAAGAAGTTTTTACTCTCTTGTCCAAACCACAACTCAGTCAACACGAAAGCCGATGGCATTTTTTACCATTCTGACAAATCTATATTTTCTGATCGAAATGAACTGAAATCAGTATATTCAATCGCACTGGTGATCAAGCCCTCCTCACCAATACCAAATATTTAATTCTTTCCAGAATCCACAACGTTATTACATGGACTATAGGGTACGTTGCTCTAATTGGCTTAATCGAACCTCCATTAACTCATCTAATGCAGGCTTTCTAGCGGACATGCGCTGCTCGCGGTTATTTACCAAGACTATTTTCGTCTCATGAACTGTAAATCGATGGTGACATACTTTAATCGCTAGTTAGCATAACTGCTTATTAACAGGATCTTGCAATTCATAGCTGTATTGGAAAGTAAAACCATGCCAAATCGTTTTGCCTTTGAGGGACTGCTGTACCCTCTGGGCTACTAATAGTTTAAGGTCCAGGTATCTGGGGTCTTTTTTATACTTATCCTTTTGTATTCTAGATTAAGATTGATCGAATGGGATTCTTAGCTTACCTTTTGTAGATGTTTGATATGCAGTCATCTGTAATTTTAAAGCTCTACTCACGAGAATTAGTCCCTTCTACATCAATTTGCGGCTTCTGGGATCGTCGATTTTTTAAGCAGGAGTTCAGGGTTGTTAGGGCTCAAATTGGCGCTTCCAATAACTGATAAGTGCATCATTCCTGCTTTTATTATTGCTAGAGAGGTCTTTTTATTGATGTAGCGCGTTCACTGCTCCACTCATAGTGTGCCAAATAAGGGAGACGGAGTTTATTTTTGTAGCTAAAGTAACATTCATCCGCTATATTAGCGTAACTACTTCTCCGTTCCAACGAAATTGTTTTTTTAAGGAAAAGTCCTGTTTGTAATGGTTAAGAATTTATTATTTACGTGAATAAAAAACTTCGTTTTTTTCACAAAACATACCGTTCATATGATTAGCATTATTTCTTGAAATAATTGTTTTCGAAATTGGTGTATTCAAAAATCTTAGCGCAACCACAAGTTTTGTACCAGCATGGCTGGATTCCGCAATTGCCTAGATATGTAGTTTCGCTCTAAAAGCTGTGGTTGGGTGGGATCGAGTTACACTATTAACACATTAGCGCTTTTCTGCGTAACATTAAATCATTAGGTATGCGGCTCAAGAAAGGTACTCCAAATGAACCGATTCATCCATTACCTTGAACATCTCGGAGTTGATTTCATCCCATTCATTGCTGTTGTTAGCGTTTTTTTTTTCTTACTAAATTGGAATCTAGGTGCTGGGTTTATGTGCTTTTTTTCGGTCATTCTACAAGAACCTGTCAACGTATGTTACGTTATGTGGTTCTCTTTTATGCGTTAGGATGGACGGTGAAATTCTTCCCTACGCAATGCTTCATTTATTTCTAACATCTTCGAGTTCACGTTTAGCTATCCCCTGTTTGATTTAATAATTTTGTTTCTTGAAAGCGTTTGCAAATTCTTGCTTTGCTACAATGTCACTGCTGTCTTCTCAGAATGGCTTATTGGTTACACTAAATTCCAAACCCTTTGTGCATATAGTTGTTTACGACGATTTAAGCACAGTGAAGGATAACGAACGTGTAATCTTTTTCATCATTTAATTTATCGTTTGCCTACGTTTTACGAAGAGGTTGGAGCTCAATTTGCGTTGACACTTCCGAACGTGGGGGTGATGTTTTGGGATCATTCGGTTTGTTGGTTGTGTCTGTGCGTCTGTTTATGAATGCTTGCTTGGGCGCAGATAAATAATTACGGTAATTTCCCTGCCTTCGGTCCATCTGTGGATCGTACCGAACAGATGCGCCCCTTCTTCTTCGTGGATGCGGGGATATCTGGCCTCTGTAGTGTGTATATTTGGATTTGTGCGTGGATATGGGTGCAAATACTTGGGGAAGCGCTTTAGATCAGCAGCCATTTTGTAAATTCTATTTCTCAAAATTCTTTCCTTTCCCTCCTTGAAACTGCCCACGTCACTGACTGCTAGGATTGTGCGCTCTTTCCCCACATGTAACCAGAGCAACAGTTCCCGTGTTTGCACCTGGCTACCGGGGTTCGCATATTATAGGTGCAAGAGCTATTTTGCATCAACCAGTTTGAGTCAGCATTATCGAGCACTATATTCATCTCCAACGCCGACATACATTTTACAGGGCGCAGGACTTGTGCAATATATTTTTTCTAAACTTACCAATATATTTTTCACTTGTTAATTACTCTTACAAAGCCTCACTCGACTATCGGTAGTGCTATTCTGTTTACGTCATTGTCACCTAACTTTAAATGTGGTGGCCATCCGTCTTGGTTATTCTTTGACAAAACCTTCATGTTTTGATGATTGCAAGCTTACTAACTCCTGGTGCTCTTAAGAGTTTAATCGTCGCTCTTCAGTACTGTGAGTCGCACTCTTTCAAGCATTCTCACATTTCCTTTTGAATTTTCTTCAAAATTTGGAGGATCCCAGCCTCTTCTTACGAAATTATCTTTCTGTTTATTTATGTGGAAGGAATCGCCTTTCTAGAATGATGTTTTTTGCACAAGAAGCCAGAAATCATGACTTGACAAGTGCATTTTCAGTCTAGCTACTTTTCCACTTCAAATGTACTTATTTATGTGCTAGACTCAGACTCAGGATTTGTGCGCTTTGCCAAATGTTGAAGTTCCTTTCTTGCACTACTCTCCTTGCTGGTCTTGATATCACTAATGTTCTAGATGCAACAGTTAAGAAGTTACCTATGCTAGAAATTTTGAATTACCAGCATTACTGGAGCATATTATTCCTAAAGGTTGGTTTATTCACCCTAAAACTGTTAGGGTTCACATCCGTAGTTTTTCTTCGCACTATGGTTCACTTTTTTTCGCTTCTATTGTGTTCTGTTCGGTAGCTGCGTTGCATATTTTAGCACCTACCCAAGACCCTAGTCCTTGTTAAGTTACAGGTAGTCTGCCGCCTTTCGCCACAATATATGCACCTAGTTTAGCTGATTTTGGGACTTATGCAGGAGTTATCTGTTGGAATCACTGCTCATAAATGATGCTTTTTGGTACCCATATCCTCACTGTTACCTTTTTTAAGGTACTGTTCAGAGCAATTGGTTATGTTGGTCCCGATTTATGAATTTTGCAATTCTTGCTAAATGTCTGTTTGCTCAGAAGTAGCAGGATGATTACGATTGTAATGAGCATCAATGCTAAAATTAGAGTGGAATTTGTCCTTTAAAGAGTGTCAAATGTGTCATGAGAGTAAGAAATGAAATGATCTCATTCACCTTTTACTCAAGTGTGCAACTAGCATCGGAATATGGAATTTCGCCTAATGGAGATAGGGTGTGATTTGGTTTGTGGCAACTTTCTAGAATCTTGATCCCTCCCTCATGCAAGTCTACTACGCATTTGTCAGTTGCTCTTCCATTCTATTCATTCATTGTGCAAGAGTATGGCTTTGAATGTGTTTTCTCATTTTAGCAAGGTACGCGGGTAGTCGAATGCAAATGTAGCGATAGTATCTTATTGTGCTACTTGTCGGCCCTTTGGTCATCTAGCATTGGCTTTTTCTCCCCACTCTGCACTGTAGGTGCATTTTTTTGGTTGCATTATTTAAAGTAAGATCTTATCTTCCTCGGTAGGTTTTTGGGAACTTTAGTACTGATTACGCAGATGAGCGGTTCCCGATATCGACCCTGCTTCACAGTTTTGAGAACTCGGTGAATTTGAAGTTCTCTCTGATCGGTCTGCTTGTTTTTTACTTCTTCAATAAACTTTATGCTCATTTTTGCAAACCCTCCTCTTGCACGTAATTTGATTGCTTAGGAAAATCGTTTCTTTCTCATCGGCAATGCACTACATTTTGGGAGGCGCTAATTTTGGGAATGCAATGAGGAGGCCCAAAGTCAGAATCTTGAATGTGTTTGGAGGGCCATTCTGTTTTTTATTGCCTTTTGACACCAACATTGACAAAATTCAGTCAATTTTATGCCTTGCCTTGGCAAGTCGCCTGAATATCCTGACATTTTTAAATTCCTTTTATCAAAAAGAATGAATGCACTTCAACTATGCTTTCTAAAAATATCTCAAGGTATTACCCACGCGCATCATACTCACCCTACTTAAATATAAATATTCGTTTATTGGTGTTTTAATCTTAAACTTATCCTGAAAAAATTCTAAGTAGCTTTGCCGTAGTGCTGGTTTTAACAAATTATATTCCACTACACTATGGCCTTCAAAGCTTGTAACTGAAACGGCTTTCTTGTAAAACATGTATGTACTTGTCAGTACATGATTTACTTGCCAGGTGTATTCTTATGGTGATGCTGCGGTTTCAACACCTCGGGACTTGTTTCGTATCATGTTAAGCAAACTCTCATTTTGAAACCGATGGGTAGAAGCACGAATTTTGATTGCAACATTGCGGAAGTCTAAATTACCCTAAGTTTATTGCATGACATGGTCTCTTTGAATTAGTTTTTGATTGGTTTCTCTATTTTGAAGGACTGACTCACTGTCTCCATCCCCTCCACCTTGTCATTGCGCCTCAGTTTCAAAAGCATTACTTTAAACTGTAACTTCTTGGCTTGTATCTGACGTATCTCCAGTGATGCGATTTCTGGAGCAAGCTGATGGAGTGCTTGGAATCATCCATGAACATTGTTTATGAGTTTGAGCTTATCTAACCACCTACCGATCATCAGCGCTTTGGTGAGCCTCGTCATGAGACTTTACTCTGTTGATCCAATATGCGGAACACTGTAAAGTAAGCCTGTTTTCTTGAGCACTCAGATGGGTGTAGCTCAGCTATTGTTTGCATGCTACCTTAAACAGGCAAGTGTCTGCTATTGTTAGAACAGTACAAGTGGTCAATTCATGACACTCTTTCGAAAGTAACTGCAGCTGACCAGTACAGGACACGACACTCTTGGTAAAGACAATATTTAGTACGCAAAAATTGCTCAAGTTTGTTCGATCGGGCTGTAATTCTTTGTACTATTCTCTTTTCTACCGTATGTCATTCACTGCAAACCTCTTCATGCGCACCAAACTGTCGGCATTTTGTACATTAAGACGAAAACTTGGCGGATGCAGTCTTGGAAAATCGGGACCCGCATTTGATTGGATTTTTACGAATTTTTTAAGACGTACTATCTAACCCTTTATGAAAGCAACCGTTAGCGCCATGCGCAGCTAAAAGCATGCCTCATTATAGCCTGCGTCGGCCCTTGCCATTACTGACGGTCACTTCGTGGATTCGGATTTCGATCCTCGTCCGTACTTCTGTGGCCGTTCTAGCCTTCTGAAGGTGCCTGCAGCAAAGCATCGTCCCAACCCCAACCTCTCGACTCCGTTTGCAGCTCAAGAGTCTTCGCGATGTGCTTCTGCTGCTGCCGGCTACACGAACAGTCCTTTCAGTAATCCTCATACCAGGCATGCCTCGGGTTCTGCCACTTATCTACGTAGCAATCTAATGGTAGTGCCCTCTGGCAGTGGGGGTGGCAGCAGTAGCAATGGTGGGGGTAGTGGCGGCGGTAGTGGAGGTGGTGGATCCTACCTTTCCGACTCTGACCTCCAACAGACTTCTCATCACATTGCCTCGGTCTCCTCCTCTCCGGGTTTGCGCACAAAGTCGATCAGTCCCACCACTTCATCTCACGATGCGCTCTTCGCTCACTCGAGACCGCAGCACCAGATGATACCCCATCCTCAGGCACCTCCACCTCCACCTCCCCCTGATCTCCTATTCTGCCCCACAAGTACCACAAGCAACGACTTCTTTTCTCCTATGAACTCAGAGCCGGACGGACCGCTGCAACTGCGTAAATCTCCGACGGTGAACTATTCGACCGGTGGGGAGGGAGTTAGTACGACACCTTGGGACGGTGGGAGTCTCTCAGATCAACGCTCGGGTGGAGGTAGTGTTCTAGCTCCAGTGATGGATGACTATCCGCAGCATCCACAACATACCTCCTCGTCTATGTATTTTTCCATGAGAGACAGTGTAGGAGATACCGGTGGTACCAGTGGTAGTGGAGATGCTGGTCCCTCACAGACCTGTGGTGGAGGAGCTGGGGAAACCTTCCAGTCGCGGCCAGGTGAGCAATCTTTCAAGTCCTTTTGTTGTCTGCTGTTATTACGATGGGCAACTTTTCTTTGTAGTTCCAACTTGGTTTTGATTCTGTAAGTAGTGAGCTTTTAAGTTCAGGAGAGTTTTCATAAGACGTCAGTCAAGCCCTTCGTTTGGAAAAAAGCAGGGTAAATGGACTCATCGGAGCAGCAAAATGTATTCGATAATTCTATTTGGATGATCGTATCTTCCATGATTGTTTGGAAATTCCGCTATATCCCTAAAATGTGGATATTGATTGTGTAATGATACTAATTTTCCACATTTACAGACCATCCAAATGTATTGTTACACGTCTTTTCCATGTTCCATGACGCCTTGTCGATTTTACTAATTTTCCTGAGTAATTAACGCTGTTTATCCTAGTACCACGTTTATTTGATTGTGTTATCAAAGTAATCTTACTGCGTAAATTAGTCTCTCTGTTCAACTTCACATTTGTGGCCTGAAAGGTGTGGGTTGTCTAGGTGTAAGACATGCTTTGCCCCTCCTTTTTCATCTGTTTGTCGACGCGATTGTAGTTTGTTTTCCACATTTTTTATTGCTCAACCTAACCTATCAGAATGGCTTTCTTTTACTTTCCCATGAATTCACCTTTTCTGGCGATGCCATTGTGTTAAGTTGTCAATGCATAAATAGCCGTCCGGGTAACAAGAGAAATTCGAAGAAAACTATCACATTTCTAAGCTTCAATTTGTTACTTTGGGAGGTCTACTTAAGGGAGTTTCTGTAAAGTTAGAGAAATACCGTTTTGCAGGTGTTATTCATAGTTATGTTATTTCAACCGCAGTCCCCATTTTGATACTGCTATTTAAAACCAAGAAATTCATTCTGTGTGTGGTTATAATCATTATTCAAACGAATTCTGAATTTAAAAATCGAAGTGATGAGGCTGATATCAAAGCTGTATGACTTTTTGTAGTAAGTTTGTGGATAGCAGACGCCTTATTTGTTCGATGAGACGCTAAAGTTCCTCTTTGATCCACTTGAACTCTACGCCCACCTATTTTGCGATCAAGTGATGTCTTTTTATCCCTTATTAAACTACCGTTTAGGTGTGCTTCTTTTATTCGGTTGTTGTAGTCAAAAGAGGTGCCATTTTTTGACGGCATGACACCAATATCGGTGGCTTTCCTGTGAACCCAAATACTTAAACATCGTTTTATGACTCACTTCAATTTTACTAGCATGAACTAATATCCTTTGGAAGTAGCCCTAATTCCTACAAGAGGATTCAGTATTTTAACATAAATTTTCGTCTCCATCCTGGAAAGGACCAAAGTATGTTTGCTATGTTTTCCTTGACCACAATAGCACCATTTCTTTATCACATTATTGCTGACTTTATCCTCCAAAATGCTCATTTGCTTGTTATTGCACTGGATCTTGCTGACATTATTGCTGAAATTGCAGAGGCCCTAAACCGATGACCACTGTCGAAAGGAAACTTGAGGCGCAAGTTAGAAAAAAGAAAAATAAGGCAGCGCAACTCAGTTGGGTCCGATTGGAGAATGACGTAATTAATATGATCACTCAGTTCCTTTATCTCCGTCGCCTGTGTTTTGCTCAAATAGGTGTTTGAGCGTAACCAATTTCGCTTAATTTAAGCTTGCGGATGCATAAACCCGGATTAAATTTCAGGCTTGATTGTGAGTGTTCCTTGTCGCAACTTACTTTTGAGCCTACCTCCCATCGCCTTTGTCTTTGATTTTCCGATTTTCTGGTCATCTTAGTGCCTTCTTAAGGTCTTCACTTTCATTCATGAATTTATCTCAATCGGTTAATGTGGCAGAAACGATTGGAACTAGTAATGCACTACAATTGATGTCACATCTTGCATCCAATAACTTTGAAAACAACCTATTATTATCCAAGTTATTATGGGATTGATTACACTGGCTTCTTGCCCAACCTTATATCCTTTTATTGCTCTAGCCTATTGGTGAGGAATGAATTGATTTTTTTGCCTTCTAGCAGTGGGTATAACAGCAATAAACAATGCTATTTTTTACGCAGAGGACTTTCACTTTATGACAACGAGTTTTCTTTCCGTTTTCTTCAAAAACAAACCCACCTTTTAGGTGTTCTACGAAGATGCGTCCCCGGTACGATGGCGGTTGGTGGTTTTCCCCCACGGACTGATCTCCCCTTAGCCGAAAACTTCAACTCCTTTGTTGCAATTGACTCCGTAAATTCAATTACTGGCAGCCTCCCCTCTACTTCTCCCTCAGTCCCTGTCCCCCTGAAGCGCTTTCGACGACACTAACCCGCGCCCTTTCTCACCTCACTTCACTCCATCAAATCAAGCATCGAAACCGTAAGAGAAGGTAATCCTGTCAAGATGTCGCCGTTGTCGTTATTGCTACCACCATTAACGTCGCCCAGTTGCGATCCGCGCGACTAATCTGAAACTAGCCATTTTCTGAAACCCTCAAAAAGAGCATTTCCTTAATTGGAAATTTTATCTTCCCCTATACACATAAGCATATTTTTGCATCTCTGTGTACTTCAAAGCAGGAAATTCGACAACTTTAATTTGGACAGACACGCGGCGTAACGAGGCGTACGTGTACACGAATCTCCCGGTCTGAGAGATGAAAAGCAAACATATTTTTTTATATCCCCCCAACTGCATTCTGAAATCAGCTGTACCTGTGTCTGTGAGCAATCCCTACTTGCCTACTCTTGAGTGGGTGTTTGTAAACACATGTTTATTCGCGCGTGTGTGCGTGCGTTTTTTTCGGCACGCGTATCTTGCGCGCGGACGTGTTTGTCCAAAAATCGATAGTGCGCGCTCGCGCATTGCAAAAAAGGCGCGCGGCTTGTGCGCATGTTTAACTGGTTTATTGATCGTCACTTGCTTGTGCGCGCGCAACGTCCCGACAGGCGAAAAAGGGGGAAGGGAGGAAGTGTGTACACGCACAGATGTGCGTGCGTGCATGCTCCCACCCCCTCAGCATATTTCCAAATCATTCAGGCGGCTCGTCGTTTTCTACACAATCTTGACGATGGAACCGCTTTTTAGTCCGCTTGCTTCTTCTCTCTTGCCCTTCGTTTCTCTGTGCTTATTCATTTCAATCCTATGACAAGAGTACGACAACGACGACGACTGTTTTACTCCATCTCATTTATGTCAACACTGTAAAAATTGTGCAATATTTTCCCATTCCTATCTTCTGTCCTGCATCACCCGTTCCACTTGCCAATCGTCTCGCTTCACTCCCCGCAAAAACGCACACACTCACTCACACCAGCACGGTTGGTATTTCTTCTAAGAAGCTCTGCGCGCGTGCCTGCGTCCCAAAGAGAGTACTGCGCTCGTGATCACGCCAATTTTAATAATTTATGATTTCATCTGCCCGCGCCCCTCCGCCCCCTCTTCCTTACATTATGTCCACTATTTTTTTGTGAGGGACTGAATATTATTATCGTTATCAATACATATGCCTCTACCTTATATTAAAATCAACAACATCGATAGCTATTGAGAAGACGACAACCGTTTGTCTCTTTTGCAGTATTTGCTCACACACTACCATATTGAGTCCTGTCTCGGAGGTTTGTCAAATGTGCTGCCTTTTGAAACCCTCCTGCCCTTCTGCCCTCATCCTTCTCGATCAAAAAAGAACACTTACTTTGAGAGGTTTCTTTTACTAGTCGAGGCGAGGGATGAAATTGAGTTATGGATCTCTTAGATGCATTATTCGCGTTATCGCGCCAAGGTTCTATCAACAATACTAGGCTTAAGTTACCGATCTGTGGTTGTCATTGAATTTAAATGTGCTCTACCACCATGCGGTCATCCCTTGCTTTTGCAGCTCTTGTATGACTGATCAACAGATTGGTAACTGTAGGGTCCAATTATTCTTATTGTTATTCGTGACGTTTATTGAGGTGTAGAAATGAATGTCTGTCTTAAAGCGCGATAAGATTTTTTAATGCGGACATTGTAAGTAATCGTTTTTGGTGGGATATTTCCCAACTATCTGAATTACTAAGGAAACGAACAGGATGTTCTCCTAGCTCGGAGACAGATTTTGTAGTGAGCCTGTTGTCATTATCGAAGAAACAATCTTTTCGGCAGTATTGATGGGTGAAATAGAAGTGTTTTCCCGTTCTAAGTATAAATAGACGATTTTTAAATTTCCTGCCATGTTTGCATTCGGTTTCTCCAAGTTAGGGTTTTGCGGGTGTCTATGGGTTCTGGAGGAAGGCATAAATGTGTTGATTATCAGCTAATCATTTGTAACGATAGGCATCATTTCAAGTCAGGAGTGGAATTCCCGTCACTTAATGTGAACACATATGGCACTAGCTTATTTAAGCTTTGGTCAGACGTCCATTTCTTAAGGATCTCCTCACGACTGTCAGCGATTAAGTGTGCTATGTTAGTACTGATCAAGTATTGTCACACATGCATATTTGACTAATGTCAGTGATTATTGAGCTGTCCAATAGGAATAAATATGTGTAAGTATTGTTTGTTCTTTTCAGACGCCCCTCAATCCCTTTACTTCAGCCGCCATAAAAGTTAGGGTGAGTCTAATTCGTTCACTTTAAATCCAATTGGTTACCATTATTGGCTCTAAAAAAATTGAATTCGTGGGTATTATTGCTTGCCTAGCACATCTACTCGCTTCTAAGGATCAAAATGCAAAATGCTGGTGAACTCAACTTAGATATTCACGCTCTTACAATATGTAAGTGGCCGTAACGATATCGTAGAATGCTCAGATCCAAGTACCCTTTTGGATAGAGCTTGAACTCTAAAGGATATCAGGAAGATATACTATTCCTCCTTGCAAATAACGATTGATACAGACTGCCGATTTCTGGCTCGAGGTAAGCAGAACATGCAGACCCGATTCACCACCTCTTGTGAGAAATGAACATAAACCACTTACCAATATCGTTGCCTAGACTCGAAGTTTCTGAAGTTGAATTAATTCACATGCCATCACTTCAAACTACAGGAGCATACAACTCCATCCTGATGTAGCACCTCTGGTGTTGGTTGTTTCATCACTGAGCAAGTTGCGCCTAGTGTAGGCTACAGACAACTTGCTTTTGTTTGGGGAAGATCGTTACATCTTCTCTCCTATTCTACATCGTGTGGGACTGCTTATGAAAAAATTATTCAAGTCCTCTATGCAGCACATCAAATTATTCGTATTTCTTCCTTCACAAACGTTGAGAGGGATGTCATCTTGTAAGCACTGTTTCTGCTGAGGGTTGTATTTAAAATGGAACGCGAGTTCTCAATGGAGGCTTTTACGAGCACAACTACTAAGCTAGTGTTGGCGGCATATTCAATGTTAGAGTATCTCTAGTCCAATTTTTTCAGACTTCTTTTGTCGCCACCGGCAACCACTGCAACTAGTTACTCCCACGACTTTTCAATCCCCTCATTATGAACTCTTCCATGAATCAAGAAGAGATTCCACTTCCGTCTAATATTGCACTTAATGTGTTTATTTATTTGAAAGATGCACTGGTGCTACTGAAGTGCAGTTCCAATGGGGTTCAATGCTTATAATGGTCCATACCTTAATACTTTAGCCTGGAGGCGCGGAATCCTCGTTCTTGAGCATGATTGTAGCTCATCCTACCTCTCCCCTTTCAAATAAAAGGTCATATTTCACTTGGTGAAGTGCTTCAACTTTCCCGAAGTGGGATAAGAGATTAGGTTAGTTTGAAGCTATTGAGGATGTTCTCGTTTAGCGGCCTCTAATGCCAACACATGCACGGGTGAATGGCTATCAGGGAATGCGGTAGGTATGCTTTCTGAAATACGATGTGCTCAAATTGCTGATATATGTCTTCCCTTCCAGGCAAAAGAAAAACAGGTCGAAGTTGTACTGGTGACCAATAATTTATCAACGTTGTTAATGTTGTAATTTCTGGGTATAGTTTGAGTTGCAAACAAGATTACTATCGGTGATAATATCTGCATTTTACTAGCCCTACTAAACTGTAAAAAAAGAATCCGGGCGTTTTTTTCCAACTACGGTCATGGAAGTGCAAAGTGAGTCCAATGCCAGCAATGAAGAAACCAACCATTTGTCAGTTTTTAGCTCTATCAGAGGCGACATGCATATTTACGCGTCGAGAAATCGTCAATTACAGTGACTTGATAATAACCTGCAGCTCGGCCCCTTCTTCATATTTTTTTAACCCTCATGTTCGTCTATCAGGCGATAAACTGCTATTGCAATTTATTTCTCGAGATCGAAGTCAAACTGTTGTCCTCTTGAATAAGCAATAGCAGTGAAAACCTTCCTACCGGATGCCTAACAGGTAAAAATGCTGAGTCCTCACATTTCTGGAGCAGCTTTGCCAACGCATGATTATCTGTTGGCAGCTGCTTGCCACATCAAATGGCAACTTAAACAGTTCCCCATCCAATCCGTAAACCTGATAAGGGGTAGGGCGGAGACTATGCGGCGAGGCATACCTTGCAAATGCCTCGCAGTTGTCTGCTAACCCAATGTTTTCAATGCAAGTCCATTTGAACGTCTTCTCTCTCTAATAACTCATTCAGCTTAGGCAGATGGAGCGCAGTTTTATGCAACGGACTCACTTTGATGCAGAATAAATTTCCGGGGGCGTTGAAGTGCAGCTGTAAAGTCGGAGGTACTGCGCCTTACGCTTTTGGGTCCCACGACAGTAGTGCACATTCCGGCAGTGTCTACATGCACACAAAGCAAAAGCTAGCCCTGACGCATTGAAAAGCTTTGTCAGGCAGTAACAGGAGATCCGGGCGCATCCCAACAACCACTTGTTGGTGTTGATCAGCTTTTGTGTTGGTTTGCCGACAGCCGCCATGACCTTTATCTTCTGTCCAACTCTTACTCCCGACTATCCGTCGCGGTACCGACGTCCCGTTCTCCATTTGACCTCTCATATATGGCCCATTCACATAATCAAGTAGTAGTGTCGATGGTTTAGACTTGTTTCAAAGAAAATGTTTTTTCATTCACTACATTAATCCCTTTATTTGACACAAATGGTCTTCTCTCTAAAGTTCTCAGAACCGTAATGCCAAGCTGACAAGAAGTTGCTATCGCACCCAGCCCTTCGAATTCGAACATTCATTTGTTCGTGAATGGAGGCTTCGGCTGAAGGCACATTAGGCATTTTCTCTAAACTTCATCAATCATAACGCAAGTTCACTGGGCCTTAACAGATCAGTAGTAGGTTGTCATCCTGTGACATGCGATGCTTTGTCAAGGAACACACACGTATCTGTAAAATTCAACTTTTAAT